ATCGAACCCAGGCTGCACGCATGCCAGGTGAGCGCGCTACCTCTTGAGCCACATCCCCAGCCCACCCAGTCTTGATGATTGTAGATTTCTAGTAGTTCCTAACCTCAGGTGGTGTCCATCCTGAGAATTTAGTGTTCATTACTGTGTTGGTTGTTCTTGATCTTTTACTGAAAACATAACTTAAAGTAATTTTTATTGGGATCATATTGAATCCATAACTGAAATTGGTAAGAATTAATAATGACCCTGAGGCTTCTCATCTGTGAACATGAAATATCTGCATGTATTTGCCCTGTCTTTTACACTCTCATTAGAAGTATGCAGTTTTTTTTTTATAGACTCTTATCAGATTTATATATGAATATTTCTCTTTCATGGGTGCTGTATAAGAGGTGTTTGTTTTTGTTTTTGGTGCTGGGTGTTGAACTCAGGGCTGCTCTACCATCGAGCTAGATTCCCAATTCTTTTAATAATAATAATAATAATAATAATAATAATTATTATTATTATTATTATTATTATTATTATTATTATTATTATTTTAAACACAGACTTGCTAAATTGCACAGGCTGGACTCAAAGTGGTGACCATCCTGGTCAGCCCCCTGAGTGTTAGAGACCATGTACATTGCATCCATGTCCAGCTTGCTGATGTCAATCATATAATAATTGTCCTATTATTTAGCATGACAACACTAATATCATCTCATTTCTTTTCATGATTCTTCATGATTCCACATAGAGAAGAGGATCATGCTGTCTCTCTATAAAGACATTGATGTTTTTCTGAGCTTGAGTGTGTTTTTCCATTATTCTTAACTTTTTTCTTTAACTATTGATGTAATCATGATATTTATTATTTAGCTTTGTGTTGTGATGGATAATGTTAACTGATTTTTCAGTTTTGAATCAGCCTCGCAGAGTTGTAATAATTCCCTCTTGGCTGTGGTATATAATTTTATTTTTGGCTTCAATTCGGTAATGTTTGATGAGGAATTTTGCATTGATGATCATGAGAGTCATTCATAATATCCTTTTTAATTTAATACTTTTCTTTATCTATTTAATTTTGATAATATGTTAACTTAAGTCTCAAAAGAATTAGGAGGTTTAACTTGCCTAGTGTGTTGTAGGAAAAAAAGTAGAAAATTGGTGGCAGTTCTTAAGTGTCTCATGGAAGCCTGTTTGAGATGTCAGAGCCTTGCCTTGCCTTTTTGGGTAGTAATTAGTTATTGAGTCTGTTTTTTCTGTAACCATGGGCTCATCTGTTTTGTGTATTTCCCCTTGTGTGTAAGTTGTAGGAGATTGTCTCTCTCAGAGAAATGGTCCAATATTTCTAAGTTGTCTAATTTGTGTCAAGCACATTTTCATGAAAATCTTTAATCTCAATGCATTTGTCATGATGATACTTTTAATTCTCTTAGTTTATCAGTTCTGTTGCTCTTTGCTTTAAAATTATTGTATATTTTATTTATTTTGTTTGCATGGTGGTGAGGATTGAAGCCAGTTCCTCCCATATGCTAGGGAAGCACTCTTGCACTGAGCCACAAGCCCAATCCCTGTCCTCTGTATTCTTAGCCTTATGTCAGTTTATCAGTGATGCTGATGTTCATGAAGGGCTTGATTTTGCAGACTGCGGATTTCCTCATTGTGGTTTCATCAACACCCACTCTGTTACTATCCTGTGCTTGATTTAGGTTTACCTGCTCTTCTTTCTCTGGTCTCCTGAAGTGGAAGTTTCAATGATTGCTTTAGCTCTTCTTTTCTGAAATGTGCTTTCGATGACTTAGGTGCCAATGAAGCATCCCCTGTGCTGATTTCTACAGATTTCCTATGGTGGACTTTTACATTTTATTTCATTTAAAATGGTCACCTTTTTCTCTCGAGTCACCTCTTTCTCTTGATCTGTTTAGAGCCCTGTGCATCACCTCCATTTGTCTAAAGGCTTTCTGGATGCTTCTTATCTGATTTCTGCTTCACCCTCATGGTCTTTGAGCATACATGGGATTTCTTTGGGGTTGCACGCTTGTAGAGGTGTGGTTTATGGCTCAGGATGTGCTTTGTCCTGGGGGTGTTGCTGTGACCCTGAGAACTCTGTGTGCTTCCCCATTGGCTGAAGGCCAATGGAGCCCTCCTGTCTGCCTTTCTGATCCAACAGAGTTAGGCTGATGTCTCCAGTGTAAGTGTGCATTCTTCATTGTCCTGGACAGTTCTCTATGGCTCTACCTGGTGTATTTTTCACTTTGTTTCAGTTGCATGCATATTAAAATTTAAGAGTGTTATTTTACAGTTTAGTCTAGAGACAGCACAGGCCTGTAATCCCATGTTATGGGCAGAAGGATTCCAAGTACAAAGACAGCCTCAGTATATGTTAGAGACACCCTGAACAAATTTGATCCTATCTCAAAACAAAAATAAATAAATAAAATTTAAAAGGGTGGGGATGTGGCTTAGTGGTTAAGCACCTCTGTGTTCCTTTCCTGGTAAAAAAAAAAAAAAAAAGAAATGAAAAGAAAAAGGAAGGAAAGAAAGAAAAAATGGAAAGAAGAAAGAAACAATGGAAGAAAATTTAACCTAGGGATTCTGAAGTCTGATCTTGCTCAGGGTTGGTCAATCTCAAGTCATGTATTTTCCTTTGCTGAGCCATGGCTTCCTGTCTTTCAGTATTCTTTGTACATTTTGTTGTTGAAAAGTGGATGGAAATGTGTTCTCCCCTTTCTCCTATGGTGCTCTTCCTGTTTCTTGAAGGCTTCATGCATTTGCTTAGAAACTGCTTGGTCTGCGGTGTGTGTGGTGAATTGGCTTGTGTTCAGTCCATTTCTAGACTCCCCTGAGTGCCAGTGTGGTGGGACAGAAGGGAAGCAACAGACAAGACTCTGTCTTAAAACATCAAATGTGAGGGCTGGGGATATAGCTCAGTTGTTAGGGTGCTTGCCCTGCATGCACAAGGCCCTGGGTTCAATCCCCAGCACCAAAAAAAAAAAAAAAAAAAAGAAAGAAAGAAAAAAAAATGTGAGAGGGATGTGGCTGCATGATTTTTAACCCCTGGACTGGATTTGATTTCTGCTAAGTTTTTAATCTGCCCCACCATAAATAAATAAATAAAACCATGTTTTCTTTAACTTTCTGAAAAGTGTTTTATTCTTTCACATTTCAATGTGTAATACATGGACTTTTGTCTGCAGAATAGAGGGATGGAGTACTTTTTGCCACGTAGATTCCAGTTTGCCTGCACCATCACTGTGATCTGTCTTTAGGCACCTTCTCTCACTCATAATCTTTCCATGCATGGAGGCCATCTCACTCCAGGCTTTCTCTTGGACTCTTATTAACCTCTGCTGATACTGTGCTGCTCAGAATGTCATATGTCTTAAGTCCTTGAGTTGGTGCTGTGTCAGTGGCAGGGGCACTGTCTAGCAGGTGAGCTCTTTGGCTGTTCCACACTGTTCAGAGATCATAGCGTGCTTAGAGACATGCGTGGAGTGGCCTGTTTCACTCACAGTCAGCGTGGGATACTTCAGGATTCTGGGCTGCAAACCTGCTGCTTTACCCCCCCCCCGGAAGTGCTTGTGCCTGAGGTCTCTTTGCACCAGCTGTATTACAGGCACAAGGAATCTCTTTCACAACAGACAACCATTGCACATGTGGCCCATTCTTGATCAAAGTGTCCTTGAGCAGAACATTGGTGTGTGTCTCATAGTTGTACATCATCTGAGTGAGACATCTGCTGTTCAGAGGAATTTGACAATCATTGGATATTCATTGTTGACATGAGGTTTGGAAAAGTACTTTCTGCTGTCTGTTAAGAAGGCTGTTTTTCAGACTTATATAGCTTTGTAAGGCTGTTGTTTTTGACAAGGTGACATCTTGGGCACATTGAATTACTTCTGAGACACAAGCCATCTTTCCACACACTCCATTCTGCTTTGACATGAACCACCGGATATTGTCAAATTGTCATGTTTATTAATCATGGTGCTTGGGGCTGGGGTTGTGGCTCACTGGTAGATTGCTTGCTTAGCATTTGTGAGGCACTGAGTTTGGTTCACAGCATTATATTAAAATAAAATAAATAAAGGTGTTAATCATTGTGTTTGATTACTAGTTGGCTTAATTGTCTTCTGGAGTAAATCACCTGCAAACTTGTATTCGTTCTTGTTATAATCAACCAAATTGAGCTCAATCCCCAGTGAACACATTGTGACCAACTGTGTGTAATGTTGTCTAAATATTGTCTATGAGGGAAGATCCTTAGTGACCCATGCCCAGAGGTTGTGGGTGGGGCCTAATTCTAGGCATTTTTTTTAAAGAGAGAGCAAGAGAGATGTAGATATAGAGACAATTTTTTAATATTTATTTTTTAGTTTTCGGCGGACACAATATCTTTATTTGTATGTGGTGCTGAGGATCAAACCTGGGCCGCATGCATGCCAGGCGAGTGCACTACCGCTTGAGCCACATCCCCAGCCCTCTAGGCATTTATTTAAAGAGGGAACAGTATACTTTCAGAAGGAAACAGGAGATCAGAATTTCCATGTTGTTGACATTTTCTGTGGAGGCCCAGTGAGCCACTGTGGTTGGCAGAATCTGTCAGAAATGCTGTTTTGTGATTCCAGCAATTTTCTACTCAGTCAGCTTTCTTTTCTAAGTTTAAGTAATATTGGGAGTGTTAATATAAGCTTTCTACTGCACAGGACAATGTTAGGACCTGTAATAGTTAAAACCAACAAAGAATTTAGGAGTGACCTGGAAGGCTTTCTTACTTCCTATGAACACACCAAAGGAAGGGTGTCCAACATTCTACTGTTTGCCTTTTGAGTGGCCCAATTCTACTGCTAGAATGGCCAAGAACAATCAAATGCAGTAAGGATTTCATGGACCAAATCGTGGAATGAATTAGGAGGCCAGGGAATCATGTGAACATCATGCATGTTGAGTGTAGATTTCTTATGCTGTCAATGTTTTCTTGACCTCCACTATACATTTGTGGGATATTTTAGGTCTCAGTGACCTTTGAGGATGTGGCTGTGAACTTCAACCAGGAGGAGTGGGCTTTGCTGGATTTTTCCCAGAAGAACCTTTACAGAGATGTGATGCTGGAAGTCCTCAGATACCTGATTTCTATAGGTAATAATGATGTTTCTTTAATTAACGAGATAGAGAACTCGTATTTATTTTGGTCACTTATGTAGAAGGTGAAAAGAGAATCAGTTGTTGAACTATTGTAGCATAAATGGCACCTAGGATTTGGAAAAGCATTTCTAGCTCCTAAAAATTTATAAAGATCATTCTGGTTTTGCATTTTAGGAAACAAATGGGAAGACAAGACCATTGAAGATCAGATCGAACATTCTGGGAGCATTCTAAGGTAATTGTACTCACAAGAGGAATCCTGGAGGGAATCTGAGAATGCCATATAATATTTAAAACAAACCAAACAGAGAAATATGCACAATTTGAAATGTATTTATTCTTACAAGATTTTTTTTTACAGGAAATATATACTTAACTGTAACAGATATTCAGTGTTTTCAAAGTGCTTGACATGCAAAAAGTACTATGAAATTGCATATGTGAATATCACTATTTGCATGATAGCCATAGGGAAGCTGTGTTGCAAATGATTGTTTCCTCTCAATCTCTTGATTTTCAGGCAATTTGAACAAGTCAGAAATCCTATCCTTTACCTGTTGTTCATAGTAACGTAAGCTTATGACCTTTAAATAAATAGAACAATGTGAATGAATCCAGCATTGATAATGTGCTGGCTATTCTTCAAAGAAGCCATGGGGTAAACTTCAGAAGCCAAGAAGATAGTGTGGGGAAACTTTCAATGAGATTCCAGTTCTTAACTGGACAAAGACAAATTTTAATACAGTAAATACATGTAAGTGTGTTATGTGTGCAAAAGACTATATGTCCTTCATTTTGTCATAGGCACGTCGCATGTCACTCTGGACATGAACCCTACAAGCATGAGGAATGTGAAGAGAAGCCATGTGAATTGAAGCATTACAGGAAATCTGTGGTAACTCCCAAAAGCGTTCACACACAAATTTTAACAGAAACTGGAGATGGACCTTATGAAAATAGAGTATGTGAGAAAGTCTTCAGCTGTCTCAGTACCATTCAAAGGCATGAAGTTACTCATACTGGGTGGCAACCCTTTGAATATCAACAATGTGGTGAAGCCTCATCTTCTCCCACAGATGTTCAAAGACATATGAGAACACACAGTGGAGGTAAAGCTGTTCAATGTGAGGTATGTGGGAAAGCCTTTCATTTCTCCTCTTTATTTAGAAGACATGAAAGAACTCATTCTGGAGAGAAACTCTGTGAATGTAAAGAAGGTGGTCGGACCTGTACTTCACTCACAAGTCTTCAATATCACATGATCACACACACTGAAAATGCACATTTTAAATGTAAGGTATGTGGGAAAGACTTTGCTTATCCCAGTTTATTTAGAATACATCAGAGAACACATGCTGGGGAGAAGCCCTATGAATGTAAGCAGTGTGGAAAAGCTTTCGCTAAGCCCTCTGCCCTTCTGTCACATGAACGAACTCATACTGGAGAGAAACCTTATGAATGTCAACAATGTGAAAAGGCCTTTTCTACATCCTCTTACGTTCAGATACATAAACGAATTCATACTGGAGGAAAGCCCTATGAATGTAAACAGTGTGGAAAAGCCTTTGTTACATCCTCTCAGCTCCATGTACATAAAAGAACACATACTGGAGAGAAGCCGTATGAATGTCAACAATGTGGAAAGGCCTTTGCTAGGTCCTGTCACCTTCAGATCCATGAAAGGACACATACTGGAGAGAAATTCTATGAATGTCAACAATGTGGAAAAGCCTTTGCTAGATCCAGTAACCTTCAGATTCATGGAAGAACGCATACTGGAGAGAAGCCCTATGAATGTAAGCAGTGTGGGAAAGCCTTTGCTACATCCAGTCACCTTCAAAGACATGGAAGAACACATACTGGAGAGAAGCCCTATGAATGTCAACAATG